ACAGTATCACGTTTCCTGTGGATTATATAAGGCATTTTAGTTGATTTTTGGCAAGATATGTTGTAGCATTAGCAGGTTAGGTTTTGGACTTGTTTGCATAGGTTGATCTTTGCCTTGTTTTGTCTTCCACTCCTGAAACATATACCTCGATGTTAGCATGGTTCATTGGACCTAGTCAACACACTGTAGTCTCACTGCCAGGACAAGTTGGTTACAGTTGGGTGACCTAACAATACAGCTTTATGCCTCTCAAACATGGCAAATTAGGGACAATGGTGAATTGTTTTTTCTTTGGGGCTTCCGAATACAGTGATCCCTCGCTACAATGCTATTGTTGGGGTCCAGATAATTGATGAGCGTTATAGATGATCAGTGGTTTAACCAAGGTCGAGTCAAATATAACTTTTAGCGAGTCATGGTACGGCATTTATGATATGTGTATCCATTCTCTTGCAACTAAAGTTTGTTTCAAGGCGTCAGTAACGGTAATCTGACCATGGTTGCTGTAAATAACGGTGAGTTGTGCGATCTACTGATCACTTCGCATACGATTTCGCTGAAATTATTGTACAGATTATTATTATTATTGAATGAAATTTTGAATATGATGAAAAAGATGCATTGCAAACATTAATCCAGATGAACAATGAACAAATTTTTTATAACCAGATATTATAATGATAGGATTAAATTGCGTACTTCAGTTCGGATTCGTTGACTGGTATTTCTGGTGTTACCTGATCACGGTGATCAGCTGATAATGTTTTCTGAGATGGGGGAAAACATTGTATCATTGGAAAATTTGAGTTTATTAAAAATGTTAGTAAATTTTGGGAGCCATGCTTTACCGCACGCTATAACCGAGTTAGGGCTATATTGAAGAGCGCAATAGCGAGGGAACACTGTATAGCTTTAATTGTTCTTTAGATTCTTAGGAGTGGGACAAACAAATCATTACTGTAAAACTTGCATTAGTTTAAGCTTATCTAATTCACAAAATTATTTTGAACACAATAGTTTGAATGCATGACATTTGTTCAAAAAGTAGATATTGGGATAAGTTAATTCCACATAAATCCATATATTCAAATCCATTTATATCCAATTGTATACATATATTCTGAAAATATAGCATGTCACTTTGGTTTTCCGATAATATGATTCAGAATAATATCAAGTAAGGCTGATGTATTGTGACAAACGTACCATGAAACCTGGGGCTGTGTTGTCATGTTACTTTTCTCATTCAGATGTGAATGTCTGGATGTGTGTTTGATGACCACACATTGGAAGTAGTCTCACACATAGTATGGACACATGTACCAATAGAGTCAATTTATTCTCATTTTAATTTCTATTCTTGATTCCAATCCTTATTACTTTAGCAATGACAATAATGAAGATGCTCTCTGAACATATGTATTTAACATGTTCATTGTATCCGATGTAAAATAACACCATCATGTATTATTATATTTATGGTAATGAGTATTGTGGAATGGTTGATTTATTTCTAATAAAATTATCCCCAATATGAAACGGGAAAGAGATTTCACAGATAATGAATTCATGGGCTATGTGTAAAACTGTTAATGTGTCGTCATGCATATGCTAATGTTGTGATTTCATCCTTGTCATCATACTCAACATACCACGTATCACATCATTTAGCAGTGAAATATTTCAATAATACTCATCATAAACCACTCAGGCATACTCACTGAGAGCAATAGTGTGCATATTATCATGATACTCATTGTCATATTCATCATATTTGAAATTTGACAGTACATAGATTACATTTCAATCTCTTAATAATAATTAATACATCACATCAAAGTTGAAAAATAATTACATGATATGCAAATTTATGCATCTTGTAACTATCATGCCCATATATGGGTACAGACTAAGGAATGTATGAGGTTCACAGGGGTCATTTGAAGGTCAGAGGTCAATCCTGACCAATCAAAAGCTGAGGAGAGAAGTGAGTCCTTGATGCATTGCCATCCTGAAGGACAAAGGTGCAAGGTATCTTTGCATGGCTTGTATATGAATGATGCCTCAAGGATATAAATTGCATGTAAACAGCTTGTATTTTCTAACTATGATGGTATAAGGATTACTGAAGACACAAGTTTCATAATTTGCATGTACACATATATTCAAGGGTGCTCCTCAACAGAAGACAATGGTTCATTGAAAGGAGTGAAAGGGTTAAAGCAAATACCATAGGACGTACATTTATTTGTTCATTTTTTATAAAATCATCAAACTGGCAGTGCATATTGAGTGTTCATACTAATTTCCTAAAATCCACTTTGACCTGTGGCATGTGCTGCTCAGTAACAACAATAAGTCGATGTTATACCAGTGCTCAAAACACTGCAAATGTGTTAAAACATAGAGAGAGACCAGCATTCTTTCTGATTTTCTGAATTTTCTGAACTTTCAACATAATGAATGAGTTGGGTTATCACACTGCTTTTAACAGTATTCCAGTTATATCACAGCATGTCAGCTTAATGTGGGAGGAAAGCCCGAAGTGATGCAGGTCTCAGAGGTTTACCACTTCAGTGAAACCCACGAGCACGGGTATAGTGCTGACAAACCTAGAAACATAATCAGGGTGAACCGGGATTCGAACCCTCAATCATAGGTTTCTGGCGTGCCCAAGGGACACAACTCTGCACAGCGAATAGCGGTGCCTGAAACGACTGGGCCACCTATGCCCCCACTTCCAAGATAAGTATGGCTACTAATGAATGACAAACAAACAAGTTTTTAACATGGCAAGATACCGAAAGATAAGTGATTGTTTTCTTATTTGTTGGCATAAAGATTTTGATACATATTATTGACTGAGGATGAGAGTTCAGCCAACTTTGTTTTGTTACTTTACAAATAATGTTGCTGTTGGTTTTTCGATTAATGACTGTTATGGCTGGTGGACGTTCAGTAGCTCCATTATATATACACTGGGAAACAATGCTACATACCCCCGACTTGTTAAACCAGACATTTGTTAAGCTGTCTGTTTCACTGGAAACTGTACTGTGTGGATAAACAGGATTTCACTTTACAACGCATGTTTTTTTATTGATGAATATATCAATTGGTCTAACTCTTTTGGTAAATAATTTAGCAAAAAGTATTGAGCAGACACAAATGACTTTAAACCCGAGACTGGTAGTCTGAGACTGTTGGAGGTTGTAAGATGTCCTGCACTTAATGGTCTTGAAACAGACACTGTTCCACAACATGGGACTTCATCACATTATACCATAACATGTTTTTGCTCTTTAGGCTCAAAGAAAAGGTGAAAAGCTTTAGAGTAACCTCCCTTTGAAGTCCCTTTGAAGATTGAGAAAAACTGATCTCTTTTAAGAGTCATCCATCATATTGGGGAATTGGCTGGTTATTTATGTATCTGTTAGTTGGACACTTGTGAAAGAAAGTCTCTTTTACATTCTGGTTACAAAATTCAAATAGACCGAAATAAAGTTGTACATCCAAGTACAATTGCGTTATGATGTGGGATTATCAAGGGCATTCTGAAATAATCCTGCTGAAAAATTTGGTAAAAATATTATTTTTTCCTGCTGTATGTGTTAAGAATGACATACATAATGCTTAAGTGTCTGCCGGGTAATAAAAAGACATTTACGTTATGCTTTCTCATTCTTGAAGGAAAGATAAGACAGTCTATATTCCGCAGAGTATGTACAGCTAAGTGTAAATACTGATAAGAGTAATAATTTCTGTTAGCTATGTGGCATTTCCATGAATAATTTGAACATAATTGATTATCTTTGTTCTAGAAACTGACATGATATAGTGATGTTTGACATTTCCTCTTCTGTATCCTACACATCTGTACATGCTATACATTGGTTTAGAATAGTCACCATTAATCAAGTCCACATGAGCAACCCTGTGCATATTCTCAAACCATCTTTTATTCATTTATGTAACATTGTCAGCTGCAATTGCTCCAGGTGAAGCTTGGCCTCACAAAGGGGTATAACATGGCCCCCAACACCTGATTTGCACAATTCTTTTACGGTTTCTACATCTTTTGCCATTGCTTTCAAATTCATCAGGAATATATGGCAGTGTTTAAATGAAGCATGAAAGTCAAAGGGGTCCTTGTCATAACCCAAATGTTGAAAGTTAAAGATTTAAGAGGTCCCTCAATTTAAATATACTACTCAAAAGAAGTTAAGGACCATCTGATTCTTTCATATTACTGTAGTTAATCTGTTATCGTATGACAGATAAAAACTATAGTGACATGAAATAATTGGGCGGTCCTTAATTTCTTTGAGTTGTATACTTTGGTAGCAAACCTCAGTAACCCCAGGACCAGTGTTCGAAATAAGAGCTTGCCCGTAGGTTCGTGGTAGGTTGATCTTGTGTAGGGCCTGTAGTTTACAATTTGTATTGGTCCTTATGGCCTGCAGTAAATTTATGTGTTGATTTGTTCGTCACAACAAGCTGCAGTTTTTCAAACTAAGGCCTTAAGAGTTTAGTCAGGGCCCATATCTTCTAAAGTCTGTGGGTCTTGATGGCAGCCTGGCAATTTGTTTTATTTCAAACACTGCCCAGGATCCCCCTTACTTTCTAACAATGCATGGTTTTCTACATGAATTTAGTGGAGAGGATAAACAGTGACCAAGTAATTGTCATTAAGTAACGGTCAGTACAGACCGATTATTTATGGTTTTGCTAAAGACTGATTTTATTGTCTTTCTCAAACATGCAAATTCATTCCCTTTCGAGGGGACAGTGTGCTGTTCAGAAAGTGATCATAGCACTAAGATAAGTATAACTCTTTAACATAGACTTACGACTGTCTTAGCACTAAGACTGAAACGAGTTTGTGAAACGAGGCCCTGATAGCTGAATCAGATTTTAGTTTGATGTCAGATAATGAATGTTCCCTTAGGTTATCAGAACAATTTGATGTATTGTTTCTCATGCATCTTTATTCAGGTTACATAAGAAAATGTCTCCAGTTTTGATATCTGCATATACAACTTGCTCCATTAGGTTCATGCTCGTAATTTTGAGATGCCAGCCTGTGCAATTTTGGTGTGCAATTTTGAACAACTTGAGCCAAATTCCGCTGATATAATCAAGTGAATTATAATCAATTAATAAATAATCACTTGTTTAGCTTGTGATTGGAAGGTTTACATATTTAGAAGAAATGCCAAAGATCTTTCTTTCTTTTTTTAACAAAACAGTCAATCAACCATGCTAATGGTGATAAATAATTTGTTTTGGAATTTACAAATTTGGGGGTTGGCATCTCTGCTAATGTTACTTGCTATAAATTGAATAGTGTTGTGTCTGCACAATCTACAACTTGCTTGACTTATGACACCAAATGGTGCTTTTGATCTCACTGCAGCCTCCACCAATCATATGCTACAGATGAGGAGGTTAACCAATCAGAATTGGCCTTGGACTAGCCATTGATTGGTGGGATGCTGGTAACAGTCACACATGCACAAATACCATACAGCTAAGTGTCACTACTTCAAAGTATCCACCAATCATGTGCTAGAGTTTTGGCAGTTAACCAATCAGAATCACCCAAGAAATACAAGTCATTGATTGGTGGGATGTTGGTATTACAGTCACACATGCACCAATACCATACAGCTAAGTGTCACTACTTCATTGAATCTGTCTGTGATTGATATATATTGCATCAGTTTGCCAACTCCAAACCAGTATATTATATCACCATTCTATTACAATAAATATACTGGACTGATTTACCAGTACTGTTTCGTTCGGGAAGTGACCACCATACACTTCTCTCTTATCACGTATAAGTTAGCAAAGAATTGCACTTGCTCATGACCTTGAAATCAACAGCCAATCAAAATGTTTGTTCTGAATGCAATTTCTGCTATTAAAAGTGCGGCCTAATACGACAAGCCCCCAATATTTTCTATTGCATCTGAAGACTCTGAGTAATGAAATTTTAGCTTGAAAAGATGTTTATCTGAGTATTTATGATGTGAGGAAACATCTCATGGCAACATTCCGAGCTGTAGATGAGAAATAAGGTGAGTCAAGTAATAGTGCTATAACTGCTTGTTGCAATTTGATTGGACGGTTATTTTTAGCTTTGCATCATTCAACCCTCGCTCAAAATGATGCTGTGGTGGTGAATTGGTCCTGCATGTGTATCATAATAGAAGATGGAGATGCAATATCTGGATAATCAGAGTGGCCAATATGTTGCATCACAGCTACTCAATCTAAGCTAGGCAGTATCATATGTACAAGTAAACATGGAAAAAATCTTTAGACGGTCTGTTTTTGCTCGTAACTCTTATCCTATTAGGCCAGAATGAATTTGATCTGGCATAAGTGTTGAACAGTGTTGAATTGGTGTAAAATAGGGCTTTAGAAAGAGATAATACAATTCACGTTTAGGTTCGGATAAAATATCGACAGTTACACTGTTACAGCCATCAAATCCATGATTGCCTTTATATATTTTATTCAGTTAGAAAATTCCTGCAAGACTAAATTTTAACTAGGCAAAGAAACAAATGAGGATTATCAGTTCATTGCAGAATCAGAGTGAGTGAGTGTGGTTTTACACTGCTTTTAGCAATATTCCAGCAAGGGGACACCAGAAATGGGTTTACACATTATGCCCATGTGGGGAATCAAACCTGGGTCTTTGGTGTGACGAGCAAACGCTTTAATCACCAGGCTACCCTACCGACACTGCAGGATTCTCCAAGATGTAACCTTGGGTATGTTTGTTCAACAGGATAAGAGTTACGGGCAGATGGACTGTTGCTATGCACAAATCACTGAAGGACATATGGGGCATCCACCCATGTCTGGAGGGACTACATGATAAAAAATAAAATTTGAAATCAATAAAACGGACAAAGTGTGAAAGGATTGCACTGTTGTCTTCTTGCACACTGAGGTCATGTGACAAGCGTTGTGAGTGCGTCGTGAATATGTTTTTTTTTACATGTGCGTCTAGATGGAAACATTTGCATGTGGTGACCAGCACCATAGAGATTTGTTGGCTGGAAAAAACGTCCTAAGCATGTATCAACAATTGCAATAAAAATCAACATTCATACACATATAAACCAAGAAACATTGCTTATGCTTTACCACTGAGATGTCGGCCTGAGAATGGTTGTTAATGTACTAAAGATAATTGGAAAGTCCTAAGCCGTAGAAATGCTATAACACTGTCACTTTTTCATTGGGGGTATTGTGTTCATCCTCGGAATTCTCTGCCACAAACAATGGCGCAGACAGCGCTGCTATTCCCGGCTGATTTATGATGCCAGAAACAATACTGTAGTTCCGACAGTTCTTCTGTTTCCGACTTTCCAAGAAATTATCAACCCACTTCTTGACCGTCTGCAGGATGGCCAAGCAGACGTAAAGTCCTGGCATAGTGAACATAACCCATATTGGAATCATAGAGGCCATATCAGCATCTGGTTGAGGAAGAGAAAAACGTAGAGCAGCTAAAACAATCAGGCAGTTCATGCTTGATGTCTCCAGTGCTATTGTTTTGATGAAGCGGACCTTTTGCCGACATGCCACAGAGAACACAAATCCAGTTGCACATCCACACACAGGAAGCAGAATTGCTCCCAGAACTGCGTAATTATCGATGTATTCAAACACATACATATTTATGTAAACGCCTAATGTGATATAGAGAATGGTAGCAAGAAGTAACAGTGGCTTAATCAACCAGGTTAAGATGGCGTCTGCTATCACAGGCCGGAACCTGTTTATCACCAGTCCGAATGTGTAAGCAAAAAATGTTGAAGCCAACCAAATTTCGAAATCGTAAATTGGAATATTCCTTGTGGTCTTCTCGTCTACTCCTTGTTGAAAGTATTGTCCGAGAACGAAAACCCATAATGGGGCCGTACCTGAAACAGACAAGGAAAAAAATGTAAATTATGTCCAAAAGTTTCATGTAGCTTCCTTAAATGTTGCGTGACGTATGTGTCCTTTTGCCCTGCCTGTCTTCCTTGCTGATCAAAGAAACATCATTCACAGATTTCTATGTAATGATCAATTTTCTCAAAAAGCTATCATTGTTGATATGCGGAAGACGTTTAATGGGGTATTGATCTACTAGAGCTGCTGTTTGGGGTAGCTAAAGACTCGTTCACCATACTTCATCTCAACATGCTTTTTGTGTCTCTTTAAAGATTATGCCAACATATTAGAGAGGAGTAGTTGTACTGCTAGCCTTTTCCAGTCGATACTATTTGTCTTCTAAAGAAGCTATTAGAATTCCTGACTGGGGGAATGTTTGACCTGTAGAGAGAAAATTAGGCTTGTTTGCAGCAAGCAATTTTGTTATTTGTAAGAACATGATATATTGATTAAGTCTTGCTCGTTACAAGTTATGATACATCATATTGGCGAGTCTTCCATGTGTCTGGTGATTAAAGAGGAGAAGACGTTACAGGATGATATCAAACACAAGCTGTAGGGAGGTTGCTATTTTCTGTGAAGCAGCAATTAACTTTGATGAAAAAATACAGACCGTGGTTCAACAGTCATAGAAAACAGACACTAACCAATTTGTCTTGTGAAAAATAAATGCTCCTAGCCAATTTTGAAAAAGCTATGAGACATATTTTTTATAACTTTAGATTTCAAATGCTGCATATTTCAAAAGTATGCATGATCAACTACTCGGTGAAAGTTGTAGCAATATTTTTGTGTAGATCCCAACACTGTTATCAGTCAAGTCAGTCATGATAACTGTTCAAATAAACACTGAAACATTGCAACACATGTGAGTGTGTTTGTTGTTAACGCTACACTCAGCAATATCCCAGCTATATGACAGCAGTCTGTAAATAATAGTCTGGACCAGACAATCCAGTGATTGACATTATGAGCATCAATCTACGTAATTGGGATACAATGAGATGCATAAGCCAAGTCAGCGAGCTTGACCACCTGATCCCATTAGCCAAGTCAAGAACCTGACAAACAAATATTCAAGTTGTTTTAGGTTTACCAATTAAAGTAATAAAATTAATAGACTGACTAAAGGGTTATTGTTTGTAATTATTTGATCAGTAATAAGCATCAATTCAACCCTTAGACCTTAGATTTCATTCCCATCCTGCATCACATCATTTTATTGACCACAAGTACCTATGCCGATAAGAAAATCATTGATTATTTTGCCTTTTTCTTAACATTATAAAGTACACCCAATACTGGTACAAAAATACCCCCTTCCCAATTTTGAAAGATATGGATGAAAGTCTAATAATTAATGAATTGTGGCCTTCAAAAGTGAAATCAGAAAAAAAAATCAAAATAGTGGATGGATTACTTCTGAAAACATTTCTAATAAATAAAAAATAGATATGACCTAAGCAGCATTAAAAATGGCACTAGTCCTGTCACCCTTGCCAAACTGGCCAAAAGTTAAGGTATCATAAGGACTAGAGGAAATTTGCCATTTTCAATGGTTTTGCTATATCATTTGTCATCATCATAAGGACTAGTGGACTAAAAGTGTTAGTTTCTACTGCTGCCTAAGACTCCCAGTCCCAGGATGTTCCCAGTTTATCAAAGTTTCAGTGAACATAACTATAATGAGCTAGTGATCTTAGTAACTGATCCTATTATATAGATCTAAGCACCAGGGTTTATTGGCAAAGACACTGTCTTTCCTGATGTGTCTGACCTTGGCTGATGGTGCTGTGTTCATCACCCAGACATACAAAGTAGATGGAATTGGTCTGGTGTTCTCCCAACATTCTCGCCTGCTGTCCAGAACATTGTCGTTCCTGAATATGCATGAGAGTTTTACGTGTGCAATTTTCTCCACTGAAGTACAATTTGAGTGGATATTTGGCAAATGTGACACTTCACCTGATACAGGAAGAGTTATTGAAAATGCAAATATAATGTAGAATATAAGCTTGAGTGTGTCAGGAAAAGAATATGGCTGATGTGTAAACTGATTGTGAAATTATGTTCTCGCGTGTTGGGCATAAAAACTGCATACATCACTGCCTAGCAGCCCCTGTCTTTAAAAGATACTGTTCAACCATTGCCTTGTTTGGCCCAGGACCTTTCCACAATGGGATCCTTGTGCTCAGGCAGTCGTAACTCACACACTTCAACATAGACAGTCGTATAAGATTCCTTTGTGGAAGGGTGCAAAACTTATTTACAGATGGCAATATGGACCTGGGCTCTGTTTTATAAAGCAATCTTAGAGCCATGATTGTCTTAAGTTTGTGTTTATGTATAGGAGGTACTATCAACTTAGCGCTAAGATGTCACCTCCAAGCTTTAGGTGGAAGCACGAGGTAGCTCCTGAACAGTTGGTACAAAAAGTGTGTGCATCTATAGTGCAGGGACCAGTCCCACAAAGCCATCTTAGTACTAAGACAGTCGTAAGACCACTTCTTTAACACTACAATGGTCATAGCTCTGTGATCCCTTTGTGGAACTTACCGAGGCCTCGGAGGGTCACCATGTTTCAGAACATTAAAACATATTAAAGAAACATACGTGAAATATCAAGAATATTTAAGACAGTAGTCAAACACATTCTTTAACACTACGATGGTCACAGCTCTGACGGTCATACGTGAAATATCCAGAATGTTAACTGTTATGTTTTTTACTACGATATTCACGGAGACAAATGATAAGGACTTTTCATGATTTTGTCAGCTTTTGATGGTACATTCTTCTGTATCATTGGGAAATTTGAAATACAACTAGGGACAGTCTGGATGTCCTAGAATATGAACCAATCTGAACCTTTGATTTTCATATTTTGTATTCATGATTATAATGTGAACTCGGTAGACAATGAAAGAACTGCATGAACAGTAGGCCACAATCATGTGGTCTTTATGAAATAAGGATGTCACCTGGCATGCAATGTTGGATTGAAAATGTCAGAGGCAAAGCGTTGTTGTGTGGCTAGAGTATGTTGGCCTCATACCTACAACATCTGGACCTGTTGTATTCTCTGCATCCAGGCCTCAATGAACATAGCTGGGAATGGGGGAGGGGAACAGGTGGTTGGGAACTAGCACAACTCTTATCAACATTCATGCCCCCCTGCTGTGCTTGATGTTGCTGGATCTGCCTTGAAAGTCTGTTGCTTTTTTGATACAGCTATTGATTGTTTCCTTTGTGTGTTGACAGTGTTCGTTCGTTCGTTCATTTCGTTCGTTCGTTCGTTCGTTCGTTCGGTCGGTCGGTCGGTCGGTCGGTCGGTCAGTCGTTTTGAGATAGACGTTTTGAATGGTTTGTTATTTTATGTTTGATAAGCACTGTAGTTGCTTGGAGTATGGTTTGAGGAAGGAGTTATCAGTCTGTGATCTCTGACTGATGTATATGTGACAAGATATTTGGGTTACGTGTTGAACACTAGTGAAGCCAGACAAGACAATCATTCACATTATCTTCAACACAGGCACGTGAAAAACATATTTTGGCCTATAAAACTAAAACATATTTTATCCCAAGAGTCCCAGCAAGTTGTGAAAGCAATATTTTTACCCTCTGTGAGAAATAAAGTATTCGAAAATTTGGTGCCTTGACAGTATGAAAAGGGAGATGGAAACAGATTAGATAGAGGATAATTTATGAATTGGTTCATCTTGACAAATGACATGTTAATGTTCAGGCAGGAGTGGAAATGTCACCATAACCATTTCTCACCAGATGAGTAACATGACAAGAAATAGTGTCTCTCTAAGGCCACATTGGTAGCAGGAAAAAGGGGAGACAATTCAGTCAGATACAGCATGATAGGGTCATCGAGGCCACATTATTAGCAGAAAACAAGCCGAATAACCGTCAGATACAGCGTAATAGGGTCATCGAGGCCACAATGGCAGCAAAAAACAAGGGAAGACAACTCTGTCAGATACAGAGTAATAGGGTCATCAAGGCCACATTGGCATCAGAAAACAAAGGGAGATAACTCTGTCAGATACAGCATACTAAGTATGAAAATGATGACGTGTTGTATTTCACTCAAGTGAATAATGGAATATATTCTTTCATATAAACATATCAAGTTTCATCACAACATTTGTAATAGTTCAGATTATACTTGAACACATGTTAATAAGATCAATAAACAAAGAGAAACAAGTTGGGTCAAATTTGTCAGTAGTTGTCAAATTATCCTTGCTTTACCTTGTTCTGTGACTGTTATATGTATAATATATTTGCATTTGTTTGAAGGACAGTAAGTAAGAGACGTTAATCAGGGTGCCTTGCATTTACAACATATGTAAAGAGTTTTCTGGTGTGAAATCTGTTATGACATTTGTGTTTCTTAGTGGAGAGATTTCACCCTCTGACCTACCTCTGCTCCACTGAGCATGAGAATACTAAACATTTCCTCCAACAAACTGACTGATTGAATTCTGCTTGTTACATACTCCATTCCCACCCTGTCCACACCTCACGTCAATAGCTATCTCTCTTGTCTGATTGTAGCCCCCTCCTTATCCTCTACATCTCAACACCTGATCAAACTCCTATCTTATTTCTCCCTCTCCTCCACACTCTTCCCAGACGTCTTAACCTGCCTGTCATCCTGTCCTCGCCCCCCAGCACCCTGAAACATTTACCCCACCCTGCTGCTCGACCTGCCATTTTCTGATATCCCTGATCATCTTCCAAACACTCCACTCCACTTCATACACCCCTGATCCCTCCATATATCCCCACCTCCATGCAGCTGTGCATCTCTACCTTCATACATTCATCCCCAACCATGCATCCCCTGCATCTCTACACAGGATATATCCCCGCCCTTCCATACAGGAGATCTAGTCAGCAGTGTCTGATAGATCCAGCCAATTATGATCTCCCTCCCTCCACCATGAAGACATGCTTGTCTGTGTTAAGTACC